TGTAGCAGTACTAATAGAATAAATTAGGCTCTGCTTAGTGGTTAATAAATAGGATAAATAAATATCTAGTTTGGTGATTTGGACGTCAAAACTTTGGTCATTTGGACGTTAAAAGTTTGGTCATTTGGACGTCAAAAGTTTGGTCATTTGGACGTCAAAAGTTTGGTCATTTGGATGTCAAAAGTTTGGTCATTTGGACGTCCAAAGTGACGTCATTTCGACTTCGAAAATTAGGTTGTGAGGACGTAAGAATCCTTGTGTTAAACGTCCTCAATACGTCCTCAACACCTAAAATACGACGTCCCCGGACGTCCCATTGGTAATTATTGACGTCGTCATGACGTCCTAAGGACGACTTCTGGTTTCTAGGGGCTGAATGGGAGAATATATATTCACAGTAGTTTAAAGTCTCCTGATATATTTGACGTAATCATTGAATCCTAAAAACAATCAAAGAGATGATTCACTCCCCCCAGCTGACTGGGAGAATATATATTCACAGTAGTTTAAAGTCTCCTGATATATTAGACGTAATCATTGAATCCTAAAAACATTCAAAGAGATGATTCACTCTCCCAGCTGACTGGGAGAATATATATTCACAGTAGTTTTAAGTCTCCTGATATATTTGACGTAATCATTGAATCCTAAAAACATTCAAAGAGATGATTCACTCCCCCAAGCTGACTTGGAGAAGCGGCGAGGAGCTCAAGTCTGGAGCTCAACGTAACATAGCCACAGAGGACATGATACTTTGACTCTGGGTTGAATGATATTAATAACAGTGCTTAGGATGCGGATCCGTTGGATCCGCAAGATTTTGGCTTCCTGGATCCGGAAAAACTGCAAAAAAAAACTTTTTTAATGCTAAACTCAAATCTGAACTATTGAAAAAAAGAGAGATTATAAAAATTTCCTCATTTCTGAATGGTTCATCAAGTTTTAGGATAAAAATAAGCGGAAAAAAAAATTTGAAAATTATTCTCTGTAAATCTTAAAGAAATGACCTGGATCCGGATACATTTTTTCCAGTGCGGATCCAGGATCCGGATCCGGATCCGCATTAAAATATAATAGATCCTATGCACTGTAATAATAATCAAAATAATAATAATAATAATATAGGGATTGGGTGCTAGCGGAGAGGATATATCCGGAGTAGTAGTTCCAAGTTTACCACAAAATGGAGAACAAAACCTACAGGTCAAATTTAAAAATTAAACGACAATCATAGCAATTTTTTATCTAACAAAAATGTTCTTTAAAGAGTAAAAATTATTTGAATATTGATTTGACGGTTAATAATGAAAAAGAAATAAATACCTTTTACATTAAAATGTTTTTAAATTGCTTGTTTTAGAAAAGGAAATAACAGTTTTTAAACATTTAAATTTGAAAAAAAAAATCCCTTTTAATATTAATTCAGTTTTCCAAAAGCTGCAGTCATTCTTTATAGATTTAGTATTATGTATCACTGTACATAACATGATGGAAATCGAAATTAGGGCATTTCTTAAGTTGTATTAGAATCTTAAACAAATCAATTATTTACTAATTTCGTCTATTTTTTACCATATTGTTGGAACTCAAGAGAAAGAGACCATATAGAAATGTTTATATTTTATTTATTTTTTATTATTATTCAGGACGATTTAGCAGTTAGTGATGATAGTGAGGAGGAAACTGACGAGAAAAATACAAGCCAAGATGACGTCATGGATTTCTAGAAAAATACAAGCCAAGATGACGTAATGGCTTTCTAGAAAATACAAGCCAATATGACGTCATGAATTTCTAGAAAAATATAAGCCAAGATGACGTCATGGCTTTCTAGAAAAATGCTAGCCAAGATGACGTCATGGCTTTCTAGAAAAATACCAGCCAAGATGACGTCATGGCGTTCTAGGAAAATGCTAGCAAAGCTGACGTAATGGCTTTCTAGAAAAATACAAGCCAAAATGACGTCATGGCTTTCTAGAAAAATACCAGCCAAGATGACGTCGTGGCTTTCTAGAAAAATATCAGTAAAGATGACGTCATGGCTTTCTAGAAAAATAATTTACTGATTTGTCCAGGGGTGTATACTGTATACTGTATATTTTCCAGAATAATCATTCCCCCCCCCCCCTTCTTTTGAAAATTATATTTTCCCTAGGAAGAAAGGTATGTTTTATTTGCTTATTTGGAGAAAATAATAAATGATAAAAAGTTCTAAAGAGGATAAAAAAACTTGCATTCTCATATTCAATTTTTTCAGTTTTTCCCCCAGATCTTCAAAAATATACATGCACCCCTGTATCTGTTAAGTTTAACAGGATTATTTTTGTTATTTTTAATAACATGTGTAATTGTGTATGTATGTATTATAAATATTTAGTTCAATTTTAAAAGTTTTTTGTTTCAGTTTATTTTCTAACTATAAGCTGAAGCCCCGTTGTCCGTGGAATCTAAAAAAAAAAAAAAAAAAATTTGGTTGCCTGATTTCATAGATATACATGGTTTCCCACTATACATGAAACTTAAGCGACCACCTAATTGCCTTCTTTAATTATTGGAATAATTTGTGGGTTTCAATAAATCTTAGTAAGTCTAATTCTTCAAGATAATCCTTAAAACAACCTGAAATGTCTTGATTGGTTTATTTTCATTAATCATTTCCAGATTCATATAAGGCTTTTATGATGTAATTATGAAAAGCTAAAAAACACAATCTATTTCTGAAACACATTTTTTAAGTTCTAGGACTAATTTTAAGTCTTATTTTGATTATCATGTTTAGTGAATATAGGTTACAGCAAAAATGAAATTTTAAAAAATCAGTCAAATAATAAATTTTTTATCTGTCTAAAAAATGCCTTTGAAAGAGATTTGTAAACGTGTGTTTTAAACTGAATTAATGTTTCATCAGCTAAAATCCGCCATTTCTTAGTTTTCACTTATCAGCGTGGTAATAAATATTTTTGTTTTTTATGCTGATGATTTTGAGGTATTCAGTGTACACTGTACAGTGTACAGTGAGAACCATTAAAGAATGGAATAGGAAGACGACTTTTAAACTCAAGTTTTGACAATAGTCAAATAAACAAGAGACACAGAAAGTGTGCCATGTAAGCAGATCCATTTGATGATTTTATAAGTTAATGGAAAAACTTTCTTTGCTGTGTATCTAGATCAAATACACTTAAATATTCCTTTAATGTTGTTTTCCTTTTCTACAGTTTCAGGCTTTCACTGTAGTGCACATAAAAAATTGTATTGTATTTAGATAACTGTATGCTTCTTCAAATCTGCTGAAGAAATAAGATGGCATTTTTTTCTAATGTACTTAATTAATAGAATTAAGAATATCCTTTGCCTCCCTTAGTAAATAGTTGGTTTGCTTTTAAGTCACTTTCTATAAGGCATATTAGGGTAGGGAGGGAAGGCCAAGAAGCCATGAACCCCGTGGAAAATCTCCGAACCCTGTGCATTAGATAGACAATTTTGCTGGGCTTGGAGGCAATCATTCTGCGTATTAAAAGGCTCCAGAGGTCATTTCGTGGGGATCGTAGCGGCTCTGCAGGTCATTTCGTGGGGATCGTAGCAGCTCTGCTCCTTTATCTCATCTTGGTAGACACAACTTTGTTGCATTATCTACAGGTTCACATATTCCTGTAGCATAATCTGCAATGCTAGCAATAGCATCGTGATTCTGACAATGAAGAGTGTAGTAAAGGTTACATTCCTGTGGTGAGTCTAGGATATTAAGTATTGTATCTAGGTTTTGGTGTATTGGTCAACTGTGATACTTCCAAATTAAGCTGATCCATACCATACTTGCCGAAAAAAAAAGATGACCAGATATATTATCTGAATAGATTATCACACCAGCCTAGGTTTTTGATCTAAAAAGTCTTTCATTACTGAGGAAATGATAAATTTTTTTTAAGTGTGAGATTTGGTGTTTACTTTTTCTGTGAGTTCAATCTATTTCTTTAATTCTATCATTATCTGGCAGATTCCAGAAAATATTCAAGCCTTTCTCCTCTGCAAATGTTCTAATATGCACAAAATGTGTAGGTCTAGAAAAATCATAATTTATGTCCCCGACTAGCAGAACATTTTTACATTCTGTTATAAACAATATTCTGTCTATTCCACCCAGGAGAGATAGCAGTTTCAGATCATTCATGTTATTATTTAGAGAATCCACCATAAAGTATAAATTTAATACTAACAATTCAGCAATGGGAAAGTTAAATTTTGTAGCTTGGATCCCGAAGATATCACACTTGATTTTACTCACATATTTTGTGAGTCCTTTCTTCCACATTGTAAGAAGAACCCCTTTACCATGTCCAGGCTTGAACACTGTATCCTTTGAATGCCGGCACAACAAACTTGGAAACTGAAAAGTACAGTCACCACAATATTTCCATGCCCAGCTTTATCAATTTTCGGTATTTTTTCCCAGAGATCTAGAAAAATGGTAAATATCGTTTTTCTTGGATATTTCCCTCTGTATCCTGCAGTTAAAAAGCTTGGTAAAAATTTGATCTATAGTTCTTCAGCTGTTCAAATGAATGTATATAAAACACAGGTTTTATCAGCAACTCTCAAAAGCATAAAACTTTGATCCTAAAATCCCATCAACTAGAATCATTTTCCCAAACCTTGTATCTTTATAAAGGAAGCCTTGATGACTGGCTTGTTCCTTTACAGTGGTTCAAAGCCTTGAATTAAGAAAGCAGTGTGTTAACTGCCTAAAACACTTAACTACTTTGTTCTTTTATTGGTGAGTCATTTGATGACTACTAGAATATTGATATTCCCCCCTCTTGGGTGGTTCCTTTCATATTTAACAATTCTACAGTACTTTGCCCCGTACTTCCGATAACTTGGGTGTTCTTCCTTCTTTGACCCATTTAATCACTTCCTTTCAGACTTCATCATCTTCTTGCAGCTTCCTCAACTCATGTCCTTGATTATCTTATGCCTGGTTTCCGTTATCATACTATGTACTGCTGCCGGATATCTGACAAATCTCCTCCTGGTTTTGGCTATCTCCTCTGGATCTCCATCTATATCTGAAGCAAACAAGATTTTTAACTCTCCTACCTTGTTGTCTACTTGATATTCTGAATTTTCTTCTGGTATTGGTTCATTTAGATGGTTAGCATTGGATAATGCATACCAGTGTTAAAAATTGGTTTCTTCAGATTCACTTTATATTTGTTTAAAGAAGACATTTCGAAAAATGCTTCAACTCCGAATTGCTTCTGGAAAAATTGGCACCTTAAGCTTTCCTCTCCTCGAGCATCCTTGAAATTATATCTAGATTTTACGGTAGACCAAAACATCTCACATCATCCCACAGAACTTTTGTTTTTAAAACAAAGAAGTTTTTTCAAAAATAAAATTTTATTCTATATGTTTTGGCTTAAACTTCAAGCTGGTTCATATTGGAGTTAGCTCTTATTAACTAGAATGATCTTCCTAGAGTTGTGTGAGCTTTTTGTGTTACCAATTAACAGTCTTTTCTTTATACTCAACAAATGTGATTTAACAAAATAAAAACAAACACATTTTTGTATAAGATAAAATAAAAGTTGTATTAAAAGTAAGAAATGCTGAAAATTCCCCAAAAACATTTCGTCTAACAAGAGTTAAGAACTAGGTGCCTTCTTTTTGGTTCCTGAAATATTTTGCAATTATTTTTAGTTAATTTTCAAATAAAATTCGTTTTGTGGAAGATTAGTTTAAATTAGAGTTAGATATATTTAAAAATAAAAATAATAGATAACTTAAGATAATAGATAAATATAAAGAGATCTTTTTTAGAGATTTGATGGAAATCGAAATAATTTTTACTTGGCTTACATGTCAGTAATTGATGTGTCCTGGCTTTATATATTTCAAACTCAAAGCGTCTGTGTACACTAAAAAGGGGGGCCGGTACTTCAAAATGTGCTGCCAATTTCATACATTTCGGTTTTTACAACTTTTTACTATATTTTGTATTTTTTTGTATGTTTTACCAATTCTTTAACAATGTCTTAAAACTCTTAAAATAATATTTAAACAGAGGGCGGAAAAAAATACAACTTTATTTAATGCTTTTAGAATTGTGTTTAATTGTTAATATTTTTTTTTTAAATATTTCTAATTCGGAAAGAAAGATATCGGGATTAATGCTTTACCTCCTCTTTTTCTTAATCTCCAGATGAATATGCTTGTTCTCCTCTTGTTATTAATCTCCAGATTAATTAACCTATCAGGATTAAGGATATCACATTCCAAGCTCAGAATAATTTTAAACATTTAACATTTTAAAGTTTGAATCTATGTAAGAAAGTGACTGGAAAAGAAGTTACTGGAAAAAACCTTGAAATAAAACCGTTTGTAAAAAATCAATCATTTAAAGTTCTAGGACAAAATGTCACTGGAAATTCAGTCCTGAGTTTTATAATCCTGGGACTTTTTTTCCTAAAATAATATGAGGGCTTCCAATAAAATAAGATCACAGGAATTAAAGTCCTAAGAAAAAAGTCCTAAATCTTGTGAAAATGAGGGCAAGTATGAGAAATTTTTAGAAAAAGGACTTTTTTTCTAAGCATCTGCATATTGAATATATCCATGGGTGTTTTTTATATCAATTAACTCTTATTTGCATTGTTGTTCTCATGCATTTTCTATAATAATAGGACTTTTTCCGGAGATGTTTTTGTTTAAAACCATACGGGAACCAGTAAAAAGTCCTAGAAAATTAAGTCTCAAAATGGTAAAACCTTATTTTTTTCCACAGGACTCTTAGTGGCAATATTTAGGACTTTATTTTCGAAAACTTTTTTTTATAAAACTTTTTGGCGGTTTCCTTCAAGTTTGACTCTTTTCTAATTTTTACATAGTTTTAAATTTTATGCCATAGGGCCTTTTTTTGGAAATTTAATTTATACAGAAATCTTCCACGTTTATGCTTTTCCCTGTCATTTAGGGTTACTGTAAAAATATAGTTACGAGTGGTTGCTACAAATCAAAAGGAGGGGGGCTGTGAAGTCTCCTATTGAGAATTTGATGCGTATGTCATTGACATTAATATCGCAATTTTTCAATTATTATATTTTTTTTAAATTTGATTTTCATCGTTGGGCCTATCATGCCCCCAATGTAGAAGACCTTGGATATTTCAAACTTTTTCTTAATGCCAGTCTTTAAGGTGGGTAAACAAAACTGCTAGAGGGGCTGCACCAAAAAAAAAAAATTGCCACGCTTGTCGCCAAAAGTTCACCCCCCCCCCCCATGTTTTTATTCTTAGTAAAATATATTTGACTTGTAAAAGTTAAAGCAAACACTTGGTTTGACATGTTTTAATATTCAATTTTTAAAGTGGCAACACCCTATTGTATTGTTACGAGTCAGCAATGGGAAAACTTAAAATGGAAATAAAATATTAAATTAAAATGAACAATAAAATATTTCAAAAGTTTTATATCTAAAAAGCTTCAGTTGAAAATACAATTGAAATATTAATAATGTCAGGTTGTAGGATCCTTAAATACAATAGAAATATTAATAATGTCAGGTTGTAGGATCCTTAAATACAATTGAAATATTAATAATGTCAGGTTGTAGGATCCTTAAATATTAATAATGTCAGGTTGTAGGATCCTTAAATACAATTGAAATATTAATAATGGCAGGTTGTAGGATCCTTAAATACAATTGAAATATTAATAATGGCAGGTTGTAGGATCCTTAAATACAATAGAAATATTAATAATGTCAGGTTGTAGGATCCTTAAATATTAATAATGTCAGGTTGTAGGATCCTTAAATATTAATAATGTCAGGTTGGAGGATCCTTAAATATTAATAATGTCAGGTTGTAGGATCCTTAAATATTAATAATGTCAGGTTGTAGGATCCTTAAATATTAATAATGTCAGGTTGGAGGATCCTTAAATATTAATAATATCAGGTTGGAGGATCCTTAAAAAGTTGGAAAGTTCCAATTTTACAAGAACTTCTAACTCTAAGTGCTAAATAAAAGTGTGTTTACTTAAAGGAGGTTCTCCTGGTTTCCCGTTCTGTCCCCAATTGAACTCTGCTAAGCTTGGGTTTTCTTTCGAATATTTATTTTAATCAACTAAAAATGCCTGATTCCATTTGCGAAAGAAAGCGCAAATTTTTCTTTCGTTGCGCTACATTATTTTGCAAAAAATGGCACTTTGTACAATCATTCGCAAACAATTTTGCGGAACAAACTTTCAGTATAATGTTGAATAAAAGTGAAAACTGTTCAGATTATTCATATCATGATATTGCACTTTTTTGCATATAATTGTGATGCTCAAAAATGAATAGATGGCTATTTTGCAACCTGATGCATGGTGTCACACTGCAAATCAAGATGTGCACGATCTCACACAAAAGTTCGAGCAGTATTTTGCCAATTACTCATTCTAAACTTAAAAAAAGAAACAGAAGCGTAGCATTTTTAAAATGTATATGCCGAAGCCTTAAAAAAGGATCAGTGAGTTGGTAAAACTAAAGGCCAAGATGACATGTGACACTTTAAAGTCGAGGCTGTATAAAAATTTGATGATTAATTGTTTTAGTGCTGTCTTTATCTCAGTGGGCATAGATCTTTAACATTAATTCAATAATTTGCATTCCACTAGAAGTACTCAACATTTGAAATATCAAAGTTTAACCACCTAACAAAATTTCAGACATCTATAAAAACTATGCATCAATTTTCTATTTTCAAATTTTTAATCTCTAATTTTTGTCCCTCAGTTTAAAGATTTTGTTTCTGAAAGCAACCAATTGAGAGCAGTATTATTATAATTTATTTATATGTAAATTTTTTAATAATCTCTCAGTTGTTTGATTTTGTGCTGAAACTGTAAATTTTGGTCAATTTTTGCTAACATATTTTGCGTAATAATTTACGTTTTGTTCAAAAACGTTTTTGCGCTTCGTGCGCAAAAGATACGAAAAAATTCTGCAAAAAAATATTTGCGCCAAACTTACACAAATTTTGCGCCAAAAATATGGTCATTTCGTGGAAACCCTGATGTAGTTGCCATCTTACGCTTTGAAGGTCCTTTAGGGCCCCTTTCCTTTTAAGAATGTTTGTTCTTAACCGATGTAAGGAGGGAGGGGAGGCAACCTCCCCCGCACAGCTTCCGAACCTCATTTTACCTATTTGCGGCAGTTCGTGTCCCCAGAGGGCTTCCGAACCTCCCCCAAACAGTCTTTCGGGATGGATCTTCCATTTGTAATCGTCAATTTCTACTTAAAACGGGAGTAATATAATTATTTAAGCACAGTAGTCGATCATATATTAAAATTTGCATAATATTTCTTTTTTTTACAATCGTTCGAGAACATGGCAACAATTTGAATATCACCCTTGAAAAGGGCAGATGCGATAGTAGAATATTACATATCTATAATAGGCTGTGGAACCTGGGTCCGTGAATGAGCAGAAAGGAAAACCGAGAAGATATGAATGTCCTTCCAGAGACATATGTCGTCTTACTAAATAAGAAGAACGCAATTCCCCTGCGGCTTAAGTTTAGATATCAACATTACAATATCCAGCTCACTGCAAAGTAGACATAGTGAGACATAACTGGTACGACATTGTGATCTCATAGCTCGTCTATTTTTAATTGTACGCATTGCATAAGTATGACAGAATTTATCCCGTAACATATAAGAAATTCAAAACATTTGTGTTCCTGCCGAGGTTAGAGGAGGTTAGAGGAGTTATGATTTTAAACATAAAAGATTTCAATTTTACTTGCAATTTACTACAGTTTGATCTAGCCGGCCATAGTCTAGAAATCTTAGACCTATAAAAAACATATTTTGTAAAATGTTCCAGAGTCAAAAAATGAACAAGTTCGAACTGGTGGTCAGATTCATTACCTGGATTTCTTTGTCTCTATTAACTGCATGGTTTATATATGTAAATGTAGATTTAAATAAATATGTAAATGTTGTAGATTTATATAGATATGCAAATGTTGTAGATTTATATAAATATGTGAATGTTGTAGATTTAAATAAATATGTAAATGTTGTAGATTTATATAAATATGTAAATGTTGTAGATTTATATATAAATATGTACATGTTGTAGATTTATATAAATATGTTAATGTTGTAGATTTATATAAATATGTTAATGTTGTAGATTTATATAAATATGTTAATGTTGTAGATTCAGATAAATACGTAAATGTTGTAGATTTATATAAATATGTTAATGTTGTAGATTTATATATAAATATGTAAATGTTTATTTTTAAAAGAGATTTTTTTGTCCCCAGGACATGATCGGGTTGTTACGGTCAAATCTCGGAATTTTTTCTATTGCGAAAGTTTGGTGTAAGCATCTGTAAGCCCGGATTAGATACCCCCAGGTACCTATAGCTGGCAACCATAGACTCTCCCTGCTTGTCCACCATTCCTCTCTTCATCGTCATTCACTTGGATCAATCCCACTTGAAGCTTCTTTCTTGTTGAGTAGAAAGCACGCACCCTTTCGCTGCGAGAGTTGTTGACAGCCGCCCCTCTGTCCTCCTACATCCGTCAGGTGGTCATAACTGCTAAACCAGATGTCGGCTTCAGATGTTTTTGAAACCACAGGTTTGTGTGGAGTAAGGGAATTGAACCCGTGAACACCAGTCTGGACACCAATCCAGTTACTAGATGTGGACAAGTGTGCTTAACTTCAGTGATCTAACGAGAACTGGTGTCGCACACTCTTTATTTATTTAAATAAATATGTAAATGTTGTAGATTTATATAAATATGTAAATGTTGTAGATTTATATATAAATATGTTAATGTTGTAGATTTATATAAATATGTTAATGTTGTAGATTTATATAAATATGTAAATGTTGTAGATTCAGATAAATATGTTAATGTTGTAGATTTATATAAATATGTAAATGTTATAGATTCATATATATATATGTAAATGTTGTAGATTTATATAAATATTTAAATGATGTAGATTTATATAAATATGTAAATGATGTAGATTCATATATATATATATGTAAATGTTGTAGATTTATATATATAAATACTAGCCTTAGAGGGCGCGAAATTAATTGTGAACATGTTCTCTTTGTGTACATCGTAAAACAAAACAAAAATAATTCGCGGATTTTCACAAAAAATTTCGCGGATTTTCAAAATTTTTAAAAATTTAATGACGATCGAATTTTGATGGAGACAAATATTTGAAATTTTGATTNATGGATGAATAATGAATATATATATATATATATATATGTAAATGTTGTATTTTCATATAAATATGTAAATGTTGTAGATTGATATAAATATGTAAATGTTGTAGATTCATATAAATATGTAAATGTTGTAGATTTATATAAATATGTAAATGTTGTAGATTTATATAAATAAGTAAATGTTGTAGATTTATATATATATATGTAAATGTTGTAGATTCACATAAATATGCAAATGTTGTAGATTTATATAAATATATGTAAATGTTGTAGATTCATATAAATATGTAAATGTTGCAGATTTATATAAATATGTAAATGATGTAGATTTATATATATATGTAAATGTTGTAGATTTATATATATGTAAATTTTGTAGATTAATTATATAAATATGCTAATGTCATATAGTTATGCAGGAGTTCTGTTATGAAGTACACAGCAGGGAAAACTATGATAACTTCAACTATAAGGGAACCAGCTAAACTTCGGTAGGAGTAAACCCACTTTTTTATTTATTTGTTGGTTCTAAGTTTAGTTTGAAATGTTTTAAATTCTTATATGCAACTGGATAAATTTACATGTCTTATGCTGATCCATTAACCAAAAAAAAGCTACAAGGTCAGAAAGTTGCACCAGTACTGCACCAGTACTGCACCAGTACTGCACGCATTAAATTGAATTTCTTCATCTGTCTAGTTCGCAGTGTTATATAACAAGAATAGTAAAATTGTCAAAACTTTTTTAAATATTTTTCCTTTAAATTATTCTTATTTAAAATTTCTTTTAGATACCCAGAGTTCACCATTTGTCTGCCTTTCAAAAACAAGGAAAATAATTAAATAAGAAAGATTTTTTTAACGTTTAAAGGGACTGTAAGCTTAATTTCTAACGACCCTACGTACGAAGATTGCAACGTTCAATTTACAATCTCACCTTTAACAGATTTGTTTGATTAAGTGTGACCTAGTTATTAACGTTTATATAATTTTAATATTTTCGATTTTGGTTTTTCTACAAAAGTTGCTTCACTGCATGTCCTGTTGCATATGGAAAACGTAAATGAATTATCAGAATTAAATGCTCTTAAAATAAGAAAACCGACAATATCATCCTCCCCATTATTGTTGTGATAAAGGAGTTAAGGGCATTTCCATATTGCATGGAGGGTCACTTGATCGAAATTAGAAAGATAGAGAATGTTGCATTTGCGGCATTTGTTCCTCAGCTTGACTAAACAATCTAAATTTGTACAAAAATCCACCCACGGAAGCCGCTTCAAATAAGTTTTGGATCATCCCTCTTGGGGAGAGGATGAAGAAATTCTCCCAACTCCCCATGGTGTCATGACAGACAATCTGAGTCCTGAGAAGCAGTCAATCTCAGGGACGGTACTTCAGATAAGCTCCTAGCCCTGTGGATCTAGATGGCTTTCAAGTCCAGAATACAAGAAGATCTTAGGAAACCCAACCTGTGACTCTGGATGAAGAAGAATACAGGAAACCCATCACTGAACACACAGGAAACCCAACCTGTGACTCTGAATAGAGAAGAGTACAGGAAACCTATCACTGATCACACAGGAAACCCGAACCTGTGACACTGGATGAAGAAGAGTACAGGAAACCTATCACTGAGCACACAGGAAACCCAACCTGTGACTCTGAATGGAGAATAGTACAGAAACCCATCACTGAGCACACAGGAAACCCAACCTATGACTCTGGATGAAGAAGAGTACAGGAAACCTATCACTGAGCACACAGGAAACCCAACCTGTGACTCTGTCCTATCACTGAGCACACAGGAAACCCAACCTGTGTCTCTTAATGGAGAAGAGTACAGGAAACCTATCACTGAGCACACAGGAAACCCAACCTGTGACTCTGGATGGAGAAGAGTACAGGAAACCCATTACCGAGCACACAGGAAACCCAACCTGTGACTCTGAATGGAGAAGAATACAGGAAGCCTATCACTGAGCACACAGGAAACCCAACCTGTGACTCTGAATGTAGAAGAGTACAGGAAACCTATCACTGAGCACACAGGAAACCCAACCTGTGACTCTGAATAGAGAAGAATACAGGAAACCCATTACCGAGCACACAGGAAACCCAACCTGTGTCTCTGGTTAAAGAATATTCCAGGAAACCCAAACTGTGGATCCAAAGAAACTGTAGTAGCAGTATATCTCCATCCATTTACTCTTTGTTTCTTTTAATTGTTTCACTTTTAATGGATATCTAATTCTATACTTGACGAGACAAAGCTTTAAGGGTACTGTTGTAAATCGGGCATTGACATCTTTGCATGGAGGGTCACACTCACTTGAAATTAGGCTTATGTTAAGTGACTCCGTTGAAATCATATTTAAAATTTCATTATTTAGTATGGAAAGGATATACTGGCTATTATTCGGGTAAAAACATTTTTTTTTAAATTAATTACTTTTTATATAAATGATAACATATAGAAAAGGACATAGTTACATTTGCCTAAATATTTTCATTTCAAGTACCTGACTGACATTGAAGCAGCTAGAGCACTGCGCACAGTAGTACTAAGGAGTATGAAATAGAAGGGAGATACAATTGACGCTGCCCACCCTACTATAGATTATGCATGCTTTGCAGTCAGTACTCCATTTGTATAAGAAATATTAAGAACAGGTTATTGTATACGCGGTAATTGTACATCAGACAAATATTTCTTATACAAATGCAGTACCCGTCTGCAAAGCATGTATAATCATATATCCCTTCTATTTCATACTCCTTGAGTAGTTCACATAAAGAGACAATATAAGGCAAAGCGGGACGGAAATCACTTAAGTGAATTTGCGACTAATTAATTAATATTAGGGGTGTTTACATGGGACCCCCCCCCCCTATTAACCTATTTCCTGTATACGCCCCTGATTATTATGATTTAGGAAACTGGGTCTGCTAATCTCACTGATCTCGAAATGAAACGGGTAAAGTCTTATTTTTAAATTGTTATTTTTCAATTTCTCAATAATATCTTTTAAATATAAAAATGAAAAAATATTATCGCTGAGGTTTAATGTTTATGTGATTTAATTAATAAACTATATCTTGTAGATATTAAAAATCTTTATTCATCAAGAATAATTTCTAACTTTTTATTATTTTTTTATGAACTGTTACAAAATAAGTTTTAACCAAATTTTTAAAAATTTTACACATTTATTATCATTTTATGGACAAAACTTTTAAAATCTAAATTATTAAAATAATTTTAGCACAAACAGAAAACGTGAAATATTTTTCAAGAGTTTTCAAAAGTTTTTGGTTCATTAACTTCTCCCTTATTTTCTAATTTTCACCAAATTAATTTAAAACTATGTCTTAAATCTCTCAAGCGAGGTTTTTTTAAAACATAAAGAAATTTTTCCTTCAAATAAACTTTTAAGAATTTTTCACAGTTCATTGTCCCGCGTTGAAAAGACTATTTTTTAAGTTAACTAACAAACCCGTCAGGAATGTCTATTATAAAGAGTAATGAATGTATCTCTGCTTTTAGAACAATCGGACTACAACCTTAGGTTTATCATTGAATCCCTCGGGGGTTTAAATTTCAATTGATTTAATTTTCTATGAGAGTATAGATAGATATGATATAAGGTCAGCAATCCAAAGGAATTAAGTCTTTTTAACAAACTCAATTTTTCTAATCCCTAAATTTTTGCAACTTGATGCTGTAGACCTTTGATGTTTTAAACTGAGATTATTTGATCTAACAGAATTCATTATTGAAAATATATAAAATTCATGACATTAGATTACAAAGAAAATCAGAGTTTGTGGCAAAGACTCAATTCCTTTAATCCCTTAATACAGATGTGTATATGAATGTACAAAGCATATCGTTTATTCAGAAATATTGTTTTTAACACAAACACTTCAGAAAATTGAAAACGGATATTTACAATTTTGTTTCTATTTTCTTCTTATTTTTATATAGAAAAATGTACAGGGTGACCCACTTATCGTGACAATCAAGAGAACGCCGTTTTTTGTATTTCATATCCAATGACAAATATGTCTCAAAAAAGGTGGTGTAACTTTTTGTAAATCATAGCTATTGACGACAACCTTTAAGTGGTTTCTCAATTGTCAGGTTTGGACACCCTGTAGATGTTTACTGTTTATACTGCATGTAAAATGTAGGTATACTGGGATATCAGGGCGCTTCGCGCCTATCTTCTATTTTAACTATTAATTGATTTTCTCTTCGATAAACAATAATAAAAATGTTGGAGGTTTTTTTCGTGGATTTTCAAAATTTTCAGAAAATCAAAACATTTTGGAGATACATTTTTGTTATTCTGAGCATCCAAAAACCTTCCCAGGGCTGACGTAAGGTCTTACAAATATGTAGGCCCGATCGGTTTGATCCCCCAAATATCATAATTAAATTATCTCAAAATGCTGTATCTATAAATGATATCCGAAATGTCGTATCTTAGATGATCTTTGAAATGTTGTATCTAGATGAGCTTCAAAGTGTTGTAACTAGATGATCTCTAAAACTTTGTATATAGCTAGATAAATATTGTATCTAAATGATATACTAGATTATGTCCGAAATGTCGGACCGAGAAAATCTCAATAATGGCGTATCTAGAAAATCTCTGAAATGTCATATCTAGATTTTCTCCAAAATATCGCATCTAGTTGATCTCCAAAATGTCACATCTATATGATCTCCAAAATGTTGCATCTACATGATCTCCAAAACGTCGTATCTAGATGATCTCTATGAATTGTACTATTTAGATGATCTCTGAAATGTCGTATTCCCGCGGTGAGATTCTAAAACATTTCTCCCACGAATGGAAGTATGGCGGATTTAACGACAGCGCAAGGTATTGACCATTTGTTTATGGGTTTTATACTAATATGCGAACTCAGTAATTGCAAAAATAACTAAATTGCGAAAAAAATAAATAGCCATGAATATGCGGGAGCAGTTGAAAAGATCTCCATATAATCATTTAATTAATTATTATTATTATTACAATTATTTTCATTATTATCATTATTATTATTATTTTCATTTTTATCATTATCATAGGGATAAGCATCTTAATAACATTCGTGTCGCCCACATAGGGTAAAGGATAAAAGATCAGTATCAAATATCAACACATCTGTTTAAATTTAAAGGATCAGTATCAAATATCAATACATCTGTTTAAATTTAAAGGATAAGTATCAAATATCAACACATCTGTTTAAATTTAAAAGATCAGTATCAAATATCAACACATCTGTTTAAATTTAAAGGATCAGTATCAAATATCAACACATCTGTTTAAATCCGTCAATTTGTTTAGGAATAATCCCAACTTATGGAAAACTACTGTACCGCATCCCAGTGCATCAGGTTTAACTTTTAGAAAAATAATAATAAGGAATATTTAAAGAAAAGTGTAAATATATGGATTTATACGACTCCAGTGGTCATCGTACACATCAATACAATAAAGAATATTTTTTTAGTTCAATTTGTATTTCTTCCAAGCTTTTAAACAGAATGGATACACATAAACGTGGAAACAAGTAGACATTGTTAATAAACAGCTTCTCTTTGTTTACTTGTAAAACTTGTAAACTTGTAATTAGAAACAAAGCTTGTAAAAAATCAAAACTTTATATAGAACAATTATCTTTATTGTATTAATACAGTGATAACCAGAAAATTCTTATTAATGAAGACGACTTTTAGACTCAAGCTATTTCAGAGTTTTCTGGTTATCACAAAAAAAAGTTAGTTTTAGGCAATTATGCAATATGCAGTCAATGCAGCTTGAGTCTTGAGACTAATTGCAGTAAATATCAATTATTCAATTTGTTTCCATGCTCTGTGATTGTAATTTCATGTGTCCCTCCATACAAAGATAGCAATTTACGATTCACAATATTCACAATTTGATAGCTTTGACTGATCGAGTATGAATTAGATATTAAATTGTATCACTTTGAAAACTGCAATTATTTTTAATTGAACATTTCTACTGCAAGAAAGCACGAAGGAATTATCAGAATTAAACCCAGAAAAAAACAATAATTATACTTTCCACATTATTGATGAGATAAAGGTTTCAAAAATACTAAATGAAAATTTGGCATTGCCATCTTAAGATGAGATTTCGCTACCTCACCTAGTCGATCCTTTTAGGACTGCCAAATCATGATTTGTTATTTAACTTCTATAATTGAATTAAATAAATTGGATTTTTGAGTTTTTAATAATCAATACCATGATTTGAATGAATCGAATTTTTCAACAAATGAATATGTGATTTTGAATAAGAGGCCTTTTCAACTTGAAGGATTTTGTCGATAAATTCAATGATATGAACTTTTCCTCGGGGGAACAGAATTTCGTTTGAAAATGATTTTTCATATTTTAATATTCCTTACTCATCTTTCGCTACTATTATGTAACTGTTCAAAAAGTAAAATTTTTTTAATTTTGTTTTCATTATTCTTGAAAACTAATAAAAAGAATCGAAATCAGAAAAATAATAAATAATTATTTGATAAATTTAAGAGTATCAATATTTTCAATTTGTTGTATTGTATTGATAAAGTAAAGCACAAATATTCGAATGAAGGAAAGTATATTACCTAGGACCCGCGCTCAGGCTCTTCCAAACTTTTCGTCGACGATTTGCTAAAATCGTTCGAAATACTAAATTTTCAGATTTCCGTCCGTTCTGAATTCTAAGAACAAAATGTTCGTACCGTTCAAAGTTACCGTTCGTTAACGATTTTTACCCTGGAACCATTGACTACGGACCATGGACCATGGATCCATGGACCCTGGAACCATGGACTACGGACCATGGACCCTGGAACCTGGAACCATGGACCACACCAATTGTTCAGTGTACTTATTTCACATAATAAGTTCATTTTTATGCTTCTGGTAAACTGATTTGCTTTATAATAAAAAGAAATATACATGAGATCAAGGTTATAATGCAAGGAAAGTTATCTCAGAGCTGTACGTATATTTTGTACTGCAGTGTACTGTCTCTGGGTGGTAATGTAAACACAAGACGGGTGTCAGAGCCTGACATGGGATCCATATTTCACATAAAAAAAATCAATGAAATATTCTTGTCATAGGAAACTAATATGTAAATTATCAAAATTGTCTATCTTGGATCTATTCTTGTTAACTAATTTTAGATTGATTTCTCCCTCCAATAGGAAGTTGAGCCCAAACCTCCTTGTTATACTTCCCTTATGACGCATTCACTCTTCTTTGAAGCAGAATAAATACAGTGTAAGGAGACGATATTTTTGTACATTTGAGCACATTTAGAGTAAGCAACCCTTACTACAACCTTGGTATACTTTATATATTTATCTAGGTACCTGCTTTACCAACTCCTGTATATTTATCTAGGTACCTGCTATACCTACTCCTATATATTTATCTAGGTGCCTGCTATACCTACTCCTATATATTTATTTAGGTGCCTGCTATACCTAACCTACTCCTATATATTTATCTAGGTACCTGCTATACCTACTCCCCTCCTGGAGAGAATCCTCCTGGAAAATGGACTTCATACAAGATATATCTCCAGGAAAAAGAGAAAATTATAAACGATTTTTCCAAATTTGGTATTCTTGTTCAAATTGTAAATGAAGTTTGAGTTTTCAATGTTCGACGTGACAGATGTTAGTGACATTTTTTAAACTGTATGAGGGGGGCACTGTGAACTCCGGTGTAGAGATGGGCATAGTTTTTTGAACGAACATTTTAAGAATTAACGAAATTTTTTGTAAAAAAGGGTATCGTTTAGAAAAAAAAACTATTAATGGATTAACGAAATGGATGACAAAATTATCATTTTAAAAACAAACGTAAAATCATTCGAACGATCTTGATCCATCAAGTACGATTTTTTTAGATTTTTTACAAATTGTTTGGAAAAACGATCGTTTTTTACTGAACGAACGATTTTTTCGAGCACACTTTTAAAAAAACAATAGGTTTGTTTACTAAACTAACGTTTTTTTTTAAAAACTTTTTTTTTAACGTACGATTTTATTGAACGAACGTTATTTTTAGCGAACAATTTTAATGAATGATCTTTCAGTGAGAACACGAATAAAATAGATAAACTTAAACTATTTCTCAAGTGTGCACTGGCTCAAATCCAATGAATCATCTATTCATTTGTTCAATCCTGTTTGAAGTCAACTGAAGTCAACAATTAGAAAATATCGTGTTCCACAATTTCATTTTCGTAAGGATATTTTATCGGAGTGTTCGCAAAAAAATAAGAAAGGGTGTAGGATATCGAATTGAATTCGATATTGATCGCCACAAATTTTACTTTTATCTATTGCGCATTTAGGGAGGGTTTATGAAGAACGTAGAACCCGCGGATACCAATTCATGGAGTTACATTATTCCACTCATATCATAAATAATTATATTTAAATTAAATTTAATCATTGAATTATTGCAACCTTTAAATGTCAAATTCAGTTCCTTGCAGTGATATAACGTTGATAAATTATATAATTTTTTTTATATATTTTAAATACGATATACTTTAAACTTCTTTGCCGCTAGGTGTCTCTTCCAATCAAAATCCTTGAAATATTGAGAGTCTAACATTCCTCTTTATATTCCACGTTGTATAGGTTCTACCCCACTCACCCCGGACTAACCAGAGTTAGAGGCATTCGGTTTCTTTTATTTGAAATCATACGCGTTTTGGTTTATATTTTAACAATCTTTAAAGTTACGGATTTGTTTGTTTAATACTTTTTATTCAAAACATATATGCCGGCAAAAAAGTATTTTAGAAAGAAGGCTGAAAAATTATGTTTAATAGGAGAAATTGTGATCGAAAGTCGTAGCTTTCTGGAATATTGACAGAACCGTTAAATCCACGTGCACTGTAGTCAGAGGCGTATTCAATGGGGGCTTAACCCCCCCTCTAGGTCAGTGAAATCCATTGTTTTTAGTTTTTTGGGGCCACAGCAGATGGTAAACCCTATCCTAGAAAGAAAAAAATCTAAGCCCCCACCCCTTGACAAATTCCTGAATGCGCATTGGCTGTTATAGTTTATTGAAGATAGTTTGAAAACCTTTGGTATTTCAATAATCAACAAATTGTAAATATTAATTTAAAATATTTTTTAAATTATGCGTTTTAGAATTTTTCTCTCTGGATTTTCAGATTCCAGTGGAAATTGATGCAACAAAACCAGCAAGGGAAAAAAATAATGCTTTGATTTTTTTCATTTGAAAATTGGCTGTTTGTTTTGTCTGTTTGTTTTGTTTGTTTGTTTTGTCTGTTTGTTTTGTTTGTTTGTTTTGTTTGTTTGTTTTGTCTGTTTGTTTTGTCTGTTTATTTTTGTCTGTTTGCTTTGTCTGTTTATTTTTGTCTGTTTGTTTTGTCTGTTTATTTTTGTCTGTTTGTTTTGTCTGTTTATTTTTGTCTGTTTGTTTTGTCTGTTTGTTTTGTCTCTTTGTTGTGTCTGTTTGTTTTGTCTGTTTGTTTAAGTCTGTCTGTTTTAGTCTGTCTGGTTGGTTTGTTTGTTTTGACTGTTTGTTTTTGCCTGTTTTTTTTTGTCTGTTTGTTTTGTCTGTTTGTGTTGTCTATTTGTTTTAGTCTGTCTGTTTGGTTTGTTTGTTTTGTCTGTTTGTTTTTGTCTGTTTGTTTTGTCTGCTTGTTTTGTCTGTTTGTTTTGTCTGTTTGTGTTGTCTATTTGTTTTAGTCTGTCTGTTTGGTTTGTTTGTTTTGTCTGTTTGTTTTTGTCTGTTTGTTTTGTCTGCTTGTTTTGTCTGTTTGTTTTGTCTGTTTGTGTTGTCTATTTATTTTAGTCTGTCTGTTTGGTTTGTTTGTTTTGTCTGTTTGTTTTGTCTGTTTGTTTTGTCTGTTTATTTTTGTCTGTTTGTTTTGTTTGTTTGTTTTGTCTGTTTGTTTTGTATGTTTGTTTTGTCTGTTTGTTTAAGTCTGTCTGTTTTAGTCTGTCTGTTTGGTTTGTTTGTTTTGTCTGTTTGTTCTGTCTGTTTGTTTTGTCTGTTTTTTTTTTGTTTATTTTTGTCTGTTTGTTTTTTCTGTTTATTTTTGTCTGTTTTCTTTTGCTAAAATGTTTAAATTATTTCATAAAAAATACAAAATGAAATAAAAAATATTATGAAATTGCAAGATTAACCAATGATTGAAATAGCAATATTTATTGTAATTTTTGTAGTGAATCTGACGTTGAGGTAACATCCTTTGTTAAAATATATTTATTAATTCATAAAGAGATATATTCTTCTCTATTTTGTTTATATATTCACCAGAAATACTGAATATTTATTTGATTTTTATCGTTTTTTTACAATTTCGATAATTAAACAAAAAATTAATCTTTTTCCCTGAGTACGAACAATTTTGCTTATTTTAAGTGGTCGTTTAACATAATTCAGCATCAAAATATGACGGTTTCTGTAGAAAAGAATCGAGGGTAAAGAACTACTTTGAGTGCTTATCTCAAATACGCTAGCGTACAATGTGAACTCAACTCAGCAAACTCGCGTTTCTTCATATTCCTCGGAAATCTAGAATACTTTATGTCCAATGTGGTTTTACCCCCCCCCCCCTCTCATAAAATATGGCCGATTTGGTCATACTTATAGTTATTTGTTAGACGGAGAAGAAAAAAAGAGATTTTTTCTCCGATGTTTCCATCTTTCTACACTCAAGCAATTCCTTCCTATACTACATGGTAAAATTATTAAAAAAAAATAGACTAAAAGTACATTAGAAACTAAAAAATAAAAATTATTTATAAATTAAAAAAATGGTTTTTGTGATTTAAAGGGACTGTAAGTTTAATTTCAATTAAACCTATACAAAAATGGCAATGCCAGATTTACAATGGTACCCTAAAAGATTCATCTGATCAAGCATGATGTAGGTAATACAAAATAATTTTTTCCTTTGCGGTTTCTCTCCAAAAACACAATTGTCTGAAAAACGACGATATCTTCCATACTTTTGATCAGATTAAGGGTTCAATGCTACAGTTGTAAATCGGGCATTGCCTCCTTACATTTAGGGTCACTAAAAATTACGCTTACAGTCCCTTTAATTAGGAAGACGACATGCCTGATATGATAAGAATAGAAAACTCTTTACTGAACTATAAGGTAATCAAGTGTAGGTCTGAGCATGTTCGATCTTTTTTTAGCCATTTCCTTAACGGTTAGTTCCAACTGTTACGAAAGAAAAATTTCAGTTAGCCGTTAATTTTAAAAGTAAGAACGGAACGTTCATTTCGTCAACGGCTTTTTTCGTTTTTTTAAAATTACCGTTAGTTCTCAATTTTATGTTTTAAAATTAATGGTTGGTGAGATTGTTAACGGCACAGTGAACAGTATTAACGGAGTTTTTGGAAAATTTTTAACAATTGTTAATTGCTCCAGCCGTTAATGATACCTTTAATACAAAATTAACGGCGTTAACGGCGCAAACCTCTGAAAAAAATTCGTTGACGGTTGATGAAATCGTTATCGCCACAGCTGTTAATGTTATATTACAGTATGAACGGCGTTTACGGTGAACAAAATTTTGTTAACGGTTTATAAACACAGAAGATGAAATTTAAAAACATCAAAACACATAAAAAAATGTTATCAGAAAATAGCAAAATTTACCTTTTTTAAGCTTTTTAGTTACCGTTTTTAACCGTTAATTTATTTTTTCAAAAACGGCTAATCCGTTTTGTTAACAATTTAAAAATTAACGGTTATCTACGTTAATTTTCGAACCCCTCTATTTCGTTAACGGAAATTTGCCCAGCCCTGATCAGGTGACCAGAAAATTTGCATTTGTTGAAACAGATATTGCCAAAAAATAGTGCACATTACAAAAGAACTGAGTTTCAGCCACAAACTCGGATTTTCTAGTCCCTAATATTTTCGCAATAAAATGTCGTAGACCTTTATAAGAATCAATTCTGTTATATCAAATAATCCAAGTTTGAAATATCAAAGGTTTACACCATCAGAGTGCTAATTGATATAGATTGTAAATTCTAGCTTGTGGCAAGTACTCCATCCCTTATCGTATAAAATCCTGATAAAATTATGTTACTAATTACATTTTTAATATGTAAACTCAGTTTGAAGGGGGATTGGTGTGCACATTGAACAATTCCATTTCAAATATTTCATTGATTTTATGACCACATACGATAAGTTCTCTTAATCTTAAGAATCTTAATTATTATCGTAAAAATCTATTTGTATAGGAGGAGACATCTATCGTGTTTAAACTGAACTATGCAAAGTATCTGAGTAGCGCAGATAGACAGTGTTCAAACTCAGCTGAATATAATTTCAAGGATTGTGTCGACAGCTTGGTAATGTTTTATTGCATAATATGTTAATTTTTGTTACTGAATGTACGAAAGATTTTGCGTTATGACGCTAAAATATGTTTTTTACTGTTAATTATTTGGTTTATGAGAATATATTCGAGAGAAGGGAGGACTTCCCTTCTCACCCTCGGATAATATTTGAAAATATGATGGGCGCTTCTTTAAATTTGGTTTGTAATTCAAAACAAAATTCCAGCGACTTGGCACCATTTAATCAGCCAAAATGTTTATAAATTATTTATTCTTAAAGTTAAATTAAAATGAAAATGACCACATATGAGAATGACCTATTTAGTACCTGGAGGATAGAGACTGGCAGGATCCCTGGTACTGGAATATAAACATAGACAAAACCAAATCTACAAACAAAACTCAAGTTTTGGATTATTATTCACAGGTCAAAAACAGGGGGTTCCACAAAACATGATAAAAAAATTTTAATTTTGTTTTATGTTTATATAATTTAAATGTTCGATACTAAAACTAAATTTTGTTCTCTATAAGTGCTTGTGCAGTATAAACACTATACACCTTTAATTCGATTAAGTCCTATAATTAGGAGACTGCATAACCGTTATTTGAAGTGACCTTTCATTTAAAAAGTTGCTGCATGTCCGATTTACAAAGGTACCCTTTAAAGCTTTGTCAGATCAAGTGTAAACTAGAAATACATCACACTTTTATTATTATTAGATAAATCTTAATCGTATTTTGAAAAAGGGTAATTGCCAATTCATAACAAGTGTTAAATTCTGTTAATTTCTTTACAAAAAATGCGCAAGAAAACGTACAAATAAAAATAATCAACTTTCAAAGAGAAGAAGATTGATATCTCCTGCATTATTGATCAGACAAATTATTTAAAGGTGTATTTTTGTGTATTTTATTGTGTATTGTATTGTAATGTGTATTTTAATAAATGGAAAGTCACTTTAAATTACGTGTCCAGTCCCTTTAATTATTCATTTTTTTATATTTAAAGGAATGGGGAGCTCACAACATCATACAAGACAGACAGTACAAATCTAAGGAAAATATTATTAATTGTTTTTAATACAGTTTAAGCCAGAACTTCGGAAACATCTAAAGAATTTATAAAATGTCGTCTTGGCAGTTTTACATGGGTTTTATCTACATCATCCTAATTGTAAAAATAAATAGATAGCCATGCATTAAATATACGGAAACAGTTATTAAGAGCTCCATATAATAATTCAATTTAAAAACTAAATATCTGCAACTTTTCACTATCAGTCGGTTCAGAAAACGACATTTCATAAATTCTCTCGATTTCTCCGAGGTTCCGGTTTAAACTATATTTTTCCCTTTCTTAGAATTAGAACAATCTCACCTTGGTAAAGTCAGTCTTAAAATTTTGTGATTGAAATTTATCTAAATTTGTAGACTTGTGATGCCAAGTTCTATTAGGCTCAGGTGCTCCAACAAACTTTATCAAATTAAAATTTGAAAAAGATTAATTGTACATAATTTTGCAAAAAGTATTTTAATAATTATCGAAAATTCAATTTAAATACAGATTGTCCAAAAAAAACAGCTTGTTGTTGTTATAAAATCTACATGTCTAGAACTACAAAATGTTTAAGTAAATTTTGAATCCGATTTATATATGGTACAGGGTGTCCCAAAAAACATGGGAATTCAGTGACGAATTCGATATCGTCTTTTTAACTAATTCTTTGATTTAGTATAGTGATACCTACTGAGAAAGCTGTAATCCGTAAGAGTTTCGTCTGCTATGTTCACATTTTGTTTGTTTACGTTTTGACTGCAATAGGTTGTACTTAGTAAAACAAGAAAATTAAAGTATACAAACAGAGTAAACTTGTCCGTCTTCACTCTTCATCTTGCGGAGACATTATAGACACATATTTACAGTTTTTTACCATTTTCATAAAATAAACTCTAGCATACATAATAATATTATGGCTTTTGAAACTAGGTAACACAATGCTAATTCATAACAAAGACGATATCCAATTCTTCACTGAATTCCCATGTTTTTTTGGGACACCCTGTACCATATATGAATCGGATTCAAAATTTACTTAAACATTTTGTAGTTCTAGACATGTAGATTTTATAACAACAACAAGCTTGTTGTAGTTGTTTCTTTCTTGAGTTTAAAAAGTAATTGATAGATACGTCATGAGAGCGTGGACATTTTGGATTATCATAATTCATGCCAACTTATGATAGAAGTTTCATTTTCATAATTTCTATCTCTACACAATTTTTAATGGACTTGGGTTTCCATTTTTCCGGAACAAAATTTCCATCTTGGAAATGGAATGATCCGGAAATTTTTTGCGTAAACTGGAATTCCGGATCAAATGGAAACAGGAATGTTTATGGTTTACGTAACATAATCCGGAATTTTTCCGGTTTACGTTATAACATAAACCACAAACTTTCTAGTTTCCATTTTGTAAACAGAAAATTTTTCCGCTTTACGTTGTGTAAATCGGAAAAATTTCTGGATTACATTACGTAAACTGGAAAAATTCTGACTTACGGAATGTGAGTTGATTATAAAAAACGAAGAAATTTTGTTTATTTTAATCAAATTTATATTTACAATATTTGAAAGTCAGTTACTGCTGGTCTACAACTACAGTTCATAAATATTCAAGCACTTTACCTTAACATTTCAGGGTCACACAAGACTAACCAGACTGTGTCGCATTCGATTTCTTCTATTTGAAATAATACATGTTTTGGTCTATAATTTAACAACCTTTTACTTTACGGATTTGTTTGTCTGTTAATCACACTAGTAACTTTGAATAATGAGTATAACTCTTAATAGCGCGCGCGTTGTTAGTTTTACTTACTGGTTTTGACTAAATGGAATTGCATAATTTTACAAATTCCGGAACGATTTTTCCGCAAACTTACCGAAATTCTGGAACGTTCCGTAATTTCGGAACAATATGTTCCGGAAATTTACGGTTTAACGGGAAGAAAATCGTTCAGGAAATCATTCCAGAATTTCGGATTTACGGAACCCTTTTCCATATTGGAAATGGAAAAAATTTCCGGATCATTTCCGTACGAAAACCATAATCCAGAATTCCGGTGGCAACCCTATTTCAGACCAAATTTAATAAAATTGTTATTAACTATTATTTAATAGATGGCAAAAGGTAGTTGAAATGTGTAGACCACTTTTATTAAACTTGAACTAATATAGAAGAAGGGGTTCAACTACTTCTCTTATGCTCCGGTTTAAGCTAAAGTTAGATGTTCGGCCATGTTTTGCTATATCACGAGACCGAATTTATGAGTTTAAGCCACGTCGCTGAACTACCTACTGCCGGTTCAAATTTGAACCACCGATTGAAAGTTAAAAAAGTCAAGAAATATTTGAATCGGTGATTCAACTTTGTACCGGTGGTATAAGGCAGTTTAGTGACTCTTAAAATACATTAAATTCTGTCTCCGAACAACCTATTTTTAACTCAAGTTTGAGTTATCTGTTTGAGTATTTAATTTACTAATGATATTATCCAGCGAGATATCCTAGCTTTGGGATGCCCACTACCCTGCAATAGAAGCTCCTTTAGTCTTGAATATACGTGAGTAACATACAAGTGGCATATACAGGGTTATGAGACTTTTAAACGACCTGGAGGCTTTAAAAATAATTATCGGAAGGCTGAATATGGCTTTATGTCTGCGTATATACTCTGCTTTGTCTCTAAGTCTGTTGGTTAGTATCCAATAAACGTCAAAACAGCTGATCCCCATTCTGCCGAATTTTGTGCTCCCAGGAAAGGTTTATGAAACATCTAAATTTGAGAGAGAAAAACCTGCCAAATCAAAAGAATCTAAGCCAAAATTTGAACAGGATTTAAAATGGCCGACTTTCACAGCAACAGTTAAAATTATTTACTGAAAAGGGTTGTGAAGTGCCCTATAGGCGTATTTTATAATGACCAACTCTGAAGTCTCATGCCTTGCAGTGGGTAAATTAAATATTTTTTAATTTGTAATATTTAAAGAAGATAATGTTCAATATTCAGAGAAAATATTATTTTTATGAGTTATAATATAACTGCACAATACTCTAACTGTCAGATGATCCGTACCGGTACATGTACTGCCGTACTTGTACCTGCTGGTATAGTGTACCAAGGGTCTGAAACTTAAGACAGAGTATCCAAATGAAACCTAGTATCGGAAACCCGGTTTCATGATTGGGGTCAGGCAGTTTTGTAGATATTAACTATCTTGTTAGAAATTTTATTTTATGTGGTTTTTTCACATTCTATTTTTTCCGATTTTTAAAACTTAAATCTACGCAAATTTTTATACACCCCAAAATTTTCCGACTCAGCACGTTTATGTGCAACAATTAGACAGGCTGGATTGATGTGTTTTACTTTCAGATATATTCGTCAAGAGAAGATTGATATTGACTGGGGAAGAGAGGATTTCGATTTTGCTATTTCTATTTGGGCAAAGGTATTATTAAATTTTCATTGATGTGAAATATATATAGTTGGTTACCCACACATGTGAAATATATATAGTTGGTTACCCACACATGTGAAATATATACAGTTGGTTACCCACACATGAGATTGTATTTTGACCTAAAACTCGTTAACTTTGACGATTCCAAGGTTTCAATAAGTCTTCTGCCTTTACTATAGTCTTTTAATGAATGGACTTTTCCCAGAAAAGAAACAAGTTTGCAGTTGCAGGGAATCATGAATACGAGGAAACAGACAGTATTGATTCCGTACACCAGGGCGGGGTACAATCTACAGTAGTCGCCGTCGTATATATCAATTTACTAAAGACGACTTTATATTTTTTAAGATTTAGATTTCGTTCACAATAATCCTGCGACAAAAACCCACAGGAGTTAAGCGCATGCTCTCTCTCTCTCTGTCTTGTAATTCAACGCAGAATGCGCGTAACACCTTTGGGCTTCTGCCTCAGGGTTATTGTGAAATAAAAACCCCCTTAATCTTGAAATGACGACATCTATTGTTCTATTTGTATTATATTATTAATCCATGGTCTCACATTTTAAAATACTGTTTGTTTAGGATTTTCAAATAGAGGACAGCGAAGAGATAACAGTGTGTGATTCAACCTGCCTTCTAGGGGAGGTGAATGTCATTTATCAGGACTAGAGGCGACGTAAGGGGGGAGGGGAGATGCCCCCCCTAGAAAAAATTAGGACACAACTTCAAAAAGGGGAAAACTTTTAGAGTCTTTTTTATTATTTAAAATTGTATTTTCAAGAATATTTTCTTTAAGTCATTTTGCTTTTGTTAATATTTTGTAGCAACATTTTTGACTGAAATACATTTTGCTCATAAAAAACTTCCTTAGCCGCAGCGCAGCGTTAGGCTCTATTTTGTAGCGTACGGCAATTCAGAAGGCCCAAATTTAATCAAACATGTCATTTAATCTTTGTGAATATTAGCACATTTACAGTCAAATTAATAAACAATCCCTTTGATACAGTGATAACCAGAAAACTATGAATTAGGAAGACGACTTTTAGATTCAAGTTATAACTTTAAAAATACCCGTGCAGTTTAAACAGACTCATTTATTTATAAGTGATTTAAAAAGCGTCTTGTAAAACTTGTAAAACTTGTAAAACTTGTAAAACTTGTAAAACTTGTAAAACTTGTAAAACTTGTAAAACTTGTAAAACTTGTAAAACTTGTAACATCAAACAAACTTTAGTATTGCTAACATGTCATCTTCCTATTCCATTGTTTTCTGGTTTTCACTGTATATATTGTAGGTTGGGGGTAATATTGGATTATATCTGGGTGTATCTGTTATCACTCTGGTAGATCTTCTCTTCGTTGTACTTTATAAACTTGAACATATTGTTAAACTATTCTGTTCAAGGTCATTCAAATAAATATAATCCAAACATTTTCATTAAAATGGTTGTAGACTGTAGAGTGTAGAGTCTAGAGTGTACAGCATTGAGTGTAGAGTGTAGAGTTTAGAGTGTACAGCGTAGAGTGTAGAGTGTAGAGTGTAGAGTGTAGAGTGTAGAGTGTAGAGTGTAGAGTGTAGAGTGTAGAGTGTAGAGTGTAGAGCATAGAGTATAAAGTGAAGAGTGTAGAGTGTACATTATAGAGTGTAGTGTAGAGTGTAGAGTGTAGAGTGTAGAGTGTAGACTGTAGAGTGTAGAGTGTAGAGTTTAGAGTGTACAGCATAGAGTGTAGAGTGTAGACTGCAGAGTGTAGAGTTTCGAGTGTAAAGCATAAAGTGTAGAGTGTAGACTGCAGAGTGTAGAGTTTAGAGTGTACAGCATAGAGTGTAGAGTGTAGAGTTTAGAGTGTACAGCATAGAGTGTAGAGTGTAGAGTGTAGACTGCAGAGTGTAGAGTTTCGAGTGTACAGCATAGAGTGTAGAGTGTAGACTGCAGAGTGTAGAGTTTAGAGTGTACAGCATAAAGTGTAGAGTGTAGAGTTTAGAGTGTACCGCATAGAGTGTAGAGCTTAAAATCTAAAGTGTACAGCGTAGAGCATAGAGTATAAAGTGAAGAGTGTAGAGTGTACATTATAGAGTGTAGAGTGTAGAATGTAGAGTGTAGAGTGTAGAATGTAGAGTGTAGAGTGTAGAATGTAGAGTTTAGAGTGTACAGCATAGAGTGTAGAGTGTAGACTGCAGAGTGAAGAGTTTAGAGTGTACAGCATAGAGTGTAGAGCTTAAAATGTAAAGTGTACAGCGTAGAGCATAGAGTATAAAGTGAAGAGTGTAGAGTGAACATTGTAGAGTGTAGAATGTAGTATGTAGAGTGTAGAGTGTAGAGTTTATAGTGTACAGAATAGAGTGCAGAGTGTAGACTGCAGAGTGTAGAGTATAAAGTGTGGAGTGTACGATGTATTGTACAATGTAGAGTTTAGAGTGTAGACGTACAGGGATTCATTTGGGATAAGAATTTAATGACGACCCAAAGCTCTTTAAATCTAAATAAACAGGTTTAAACTTGAGTTTTTTATTTTTAATGATTTATTAAAGTATTTGACAAAGAAAAAACCAAGTGTTCTAGAGAATCACGAATTTTATAAAAATATTAAATAAACCCTGTGCAGTCGTCTCTTAAGTTTCATCCTTTGTGGATAATTCTTCAGTTTAATCAGGTGGAAAAACAAAGATATCTCAATCAACTTTAGTCAGAAAATGTTGAAATGGTAAAAGCCAAACAAACGGATCATAAAATAATGCCAGAAATCGAACCATACGGGCCCATAAAGATTGCGCAATATTTATCAATTAATTTTCCCCAAAAAAAATATATTTTTAGCATTTAAAAGTCAATTCTTTTGCACTCCTCAATATGAATCAATGAATATACCTTTAAATAATTAACATTTGTTAATAAAACTGCACTACGATAAATATCTAAATAAGTTGTGCAATATGTAAAATTGACATGTTAACAACAAAAATAAGATTTAAAAAGTAAATGGTTTCCCACATTATATATATATACATTTGTTGACTTTAAAAAGGTCAATACGATAAAATAAAAGAGATCTAAAAGGTTATTTCTAATCTTTATTTAATAAAACGAAAAGGTTATGAAATATTTTCCCAAGTGGCATTAAATTTGGTTGGTTTAGAAATTAATAAAGAAACTATAGATGAATATCAATTGGAGGTGTTTGTAGAACTTCATGATGGTGGTGCAGATCATCAATCTTGACGGCAGGCTTACTCACAACTAGGCTTAGTCTAAGGGAGAGAGATTGCGGACTTATCCTGTATACAGGATAATGGAAGGAAGTCTGGTTCCGCCCGGATCTCTGGAACATTGTGGAGCGAACTAGGCTTAGTCTGAGATTTCTCTCTGATTTTTTGCCTGCAGGCCTGAATTGTGATCTAGTTTTTAAGCAAAAACCAAAGTGGGGAAAAAATAATTTTCCCCTTCATTTTTCCCGCATTTTTCTGACATTTAAAAAAAAAACTTTGTTAGGTCCATGTACAAAAATGAAAAAGATAAGAATCAAATTCAACTAAACTGTAACTAAATCGCGTAGGCATTTCTTATTCTATAAATATTTCTATAATTGAAAACTATACAATACATATACAATATTCATATGTACATTTATAAATATAAATTTAATTGTAGCTGCCGTTTATTATTCCTTGATTCAAATATGAAATAAATTCACACTAGGAACTGTGTAGACTGTAGACTGTAGACTGCAGACTGTAGACTTATCTACTCTGTTTTCTTCATTGTGTACAACTAAAATCAAAATAATTTTATTTTGTTTAAAATGAAGAAAAAAAAACATTTCCTAATATATTTATAACGTACAATGATAACAGAAGAACAGTAAAGCTAATTTTATAAATAACAATTTCAAAAAATAAAACTATTTTCCTGATTGAGAAAGGATTCTGATGTTGATGATGGATCAACCAATGTCTCTGAATCATAATAAGGCTGCTGCATCTCTAAACATAAATACTTTAACACATTTCGTTCTAAAATACAGTGATAACCAGAAAACTGTAGAATAGGAAGTCGAAATTAAAGCATGCAATGCTGAAGTGCATTTGATCTTATTAAATCAATAGTTAAGTGAAATGGGTCTGTTTACGCTGCACCTTTGCTGAGCCTTATGTCAATTAGACTATTCTAGTCGTAACTTGAGTCTAAAAGTCGTCTTCCCAATCCAGAGTTTACTGATTCTCACTGTATCATTTTAAAAATGCTGACATCTATGTAAAAAAGCTTGCTTATGTATTTATATATATAAATACAGTTTCTCTCAGGGTTATATAGGGTCATATAGGGTCATATAGTGTCATAAAGTGTCATATAGGGTCATATAGGGTCATATAGTGTCATATAGTGTCAATTAGGGTCATATAGGGTCATATAGTGTCATAAAGTGTCATATAGGGTCATATAGTGTCATAAAGTGTCATATAGGGTCATATAGGGTCATATAGTGTCATATAGGGTCATATAGGGTCATATAGGGTCATATAGTGTCATATAGGGTCATATAGGGTCATGTGGGGTCATAAGGTGTCATATAGTGTCATATAGGGTCATATAGGGTCATATAGTGTCATAAAGTGTCATTTAGGGTCATATAGGGTCATATAGTGTTTTATAGTGTCATATAGGGTCATATAGGGTCATATAGTGTCATATAGGGTCATATAGGGTCATATAGGGTCATATAGTGTCAGAAAATAAATTGTTTTCATTGTGTTTCCTTAGGTTATGTCACATTTTGACCCGAACAACTAGTTCTAAAAGATAGAAATATTGGAAAGTTTAATAAAAGCAAACCTTAACTTTATTTATAAGTTTAATTACCTAGTTGGTTAGTATACAGATCTAAATCATGTCTACTGTTTGGATAATAATATCCATACTGGGTATCCACTCCGTCTGATTTACCAGTATAGTCTAAAACAACAGACAACAATTTTAAAGTCTTGCAATTTTTAGGGTTCCCAGCGAACAAAAACTTTTGCGAAAAAATGCGAAAAATTTCTTTCATATTTTGAAAACTTTTTCACGAAATTTTGCATTTTTTCGCGAAAATAAAATTTGCAAACGGAAGCGAAAATGTTGCGAAGTTTCGTGAGAACAAAAAAGATATGCAAAAAATAGCAAAATGTTTAGTTTTTTTGGCGAAATTTCGCGTTAATCTGTTTCGCGAAAAAATACTATATAAGCTGTGTGAAAAATCTAATATAAGCTGAGAGTATTGGCTCCTAGTATACCAGTTAAAGAGTATCCAGGCATGTCATGTTAACTGGGATACTCTGTATATATACCTGATATAATCTGAGAATGTTGGCTCCTATTACACCAATCAAAGAGTATCCAGGCATGTCATGGTAACTGGACACTCTGTATATATACCTGATATAATCTGAGAATGTTGGCTCCTATTATACCAATCAAAGAGTATCCAGGCATGTCATGTTAACTGGGATACTCTGTATATATACCTGATATAATCTGAGAATGTTGGCTCCTTTTACACCAATCAAAGAGTATCCAGGCATGTCATGTTAACTGGATACTCTGTATATATACCTGAAATAATCTGAGAATGTTGGCTCCTAGAGTACCAATCAAAGAGCGCCCAGGCCCACATTGCTACTAGTGTTCCAAACAGGGCTGCTGTTAGAACACCGTGCCATCCTGGACAACAACAGATTTTACACTTTTAGGAAGAAACATTTTATATGTAAAATCGAAATGACAACACGTTTTGAAATTACTCACATTTTGTAAAAAATTGTAAAATTATAAGGCAATGTTACTTCAACCCTATGTCGAGTAGTGAATAACAATGCAAATGTATCCCCGTTATTCTATCTTGAAAAATGCTAAATTCTGATGATTTTTTTCGTTGTTGATCAAGCATAAATCCTCAAATCATTCCTACAGATAAACCACAATTGAAAAGTATCCATTTTCTGATAGACGAACAAGAATATCATTGTATTTTATTTTCACATAGTTTCAGTAGAAGTAAATATTTCCATTTACTGATAGACGAACAAGAATATCTTTGTAGTTTATTTTTACACTATAGTTTCAGTAGAAGAAAATATTTCCATTTACTGTTATAGCGCCGATATAAGGATTTATCTCTAATTGGATAATGAGATAGATATAAAGATAGATGTTACCACCATACTATTTCAATTGGTTCAGCATAGACAACAAACACAAAAATGAACCCTGATTGGATCAGGCGCTAATGGAATCGGCTTACTAGAGTTTTCAAATCAAGGTTCAAAGGGTACCGCTGTGAATGCTACTATATAAATTAATCAATAAATCAATCCCTTTCATTGTTTTTCTCGAACATTCCCTTTAATATTGTAAAGTTTACCTCCCCCTAGAATATCTATCAGCTGGGTGAATGCATTAGTTCCTAAAAGATTAAATGATTTTATATTTTTTTAATTTTTGGAAAAGTTATTTTAAAATGGAAATTTTTTAATAAAAATAATAGTTTATTTAAATACTAGCTTGGGACTAAAAGTTACTAAAAGTTACTCCCGCCGTTTATCCGCACTTGAACGATTTTACCAGTAAACTAAATTTTCGCTTTCAAAGTCGACCAACTCAACTAAGAATCTCAAAACCAAGCTTAGAACATTCCCGTGGATCTCCCGAGTTCCCCAATCAATATTTGAGGCAAATCGGTCCTTTGTTCCTGAGTTATGATCGGACAAACAGATTTACAAACAGAGATTACAACTTTATATATGTAGATTCAATGTTTAGATACCTGTTAGCTGAAAATTGTCCTGCAATGATATTAATATTCTTTTTTATGCTGTCCAAAAAAGATTAAAAAATTTTCAAATTGCAAGATTTCGTTAAAATATTTTCACAAACACTTCCGAAAGAACCAAAATATCAAATGTAACGAGAGCTTGCAGAAAAACAGTATTTGCTGAATCNCCCCCCCCCCTACTAAGGGTTGCAACATACGTTGAATCTTTTCAAATGACCAGAAATTCTTTGAAAATGGCGATATAAATTTAATTTTACAGCTGCAAGAAACCAAAAATGTAAAAATGGCTGAATAAATTCCACACAGTTGTCCATAAAGTCTCATCCTTTGTGGGTAACCCTGTATTATTTAATATTTAAATATTATTTAATAAACTAGCCTAGATCCCGGCGTTGCCAAGGGTACTCAAAGTTACTCCCGCTGTTTACCCGCGCTTGGTCGTAAATTTCGATTATAGCTATTTTTTCCCTATGCAATTGTCGACCCATTCAAATTGTAATCTCAAAAGCTAAAATCATTCCCGCGGTTCTCCCGAGTTCCCCAATCAAAATTAAGTCAAATAATTCCAGGGGTTCTTGAGTTATGATCAGAAATACAAACAAACAAACAGAGATTACTACTTTATATAGATTCTTTGGAAGAAAAATATGAATATCCCTGAGGATCGAGGTTAACCCTATCCACCTCGGGCTGACTGGGTGAGGGGGGGAGGAGGGGGGGAATAGGGATAAAGTTGGAGGAGGGAAATCTGGCCAAATTCTGAGGAATCTCGTCCTAAAGAAATATCAAATTAACTATTTGATTTTAATTTTTTTTCTTCATAAAGGAGCTGATCACTCGTCTCCAACTCGAATTTCTTGTCCCTAGATGTTTGCAACTTAATTTCGCAGTCGATATTTTAACAAATTCTGCTAATAGATGTATAGTTTAAACTTTCAGAATGATTTATATCATTAGAGAATTAGAGTTTGAGGAAATTGTTAATTTTTTAGATTGTTTTAGATTTGAAAAAATACAAAAAACAGTATTACTCAAAAAAAGTCGAGACAAAATTTGGTGTTCTTAAGATGACTTTTAATAAAATGACACACATCTTAAGAATTCAAGAATTTAAGGAAAAAAGTTCAATTCGTTCTATTTTTAGTAAAAAAAAATACTTTTTTAAGGCAAACAAGTTTTTAAACCCAACAATTGTTTTAATGCAATAAAAAATAAGAAATTATAAAAACTCACTTGAGCAATAATTTTTTCCTAATCTTTATGACTTAAACCAAAAATATGTATTTTTCCTACATGTTACTTACATATTGATAATCTTGAGATTCTCTGGAATATTTTTTCTTAAACTTTGATCTGACATCTTTTTCTCCTTTTCTTTTTTGTCCTCGTTTATTTTTGGGATTTTTCATTTCTTTTCTTTCTTGTTTTCTGAACTCCCTTCGAGATTCTTTCTTGTCAATTTCCTCTTTGCTGTTCTTTTTCCTTCCGCGTAGATTTTTCTCTTCTTTTCGTTTTGCTTTTCGTTCATCTCTTCTACTTTCCTTTCCCCCGCCACGGACTGAGGAACCCTGGAAAGAATTTTTTTACTTTTTTTACATTATGAAAATTTAATATTTACTTTTTGTTCATTTCTTCTGCTTTCCGTCCCTCTGTCACGGACTGAAGAAACCTTAAAGTAAAAAATGTAGAATTGGGAAAAAAGAAATTATCGAAATTAAAATACTTTTGTTTTTCTTCTTGAAGACTTTTCCTCTTCTTTGTTCTGTTTTCTAAAATAAGTAAAATTATGTAATTATTTCGGTTTATTTTTTAAAATTTAGATGTTTAAAGCTCATATAATACAAAAAACCTACCATTGTTATTAAAGGAACTGTAAGCGTAATTTAGAGTAACCGATTTTCAACGGTACCCATGATCTGATCAAGTATTAATTAGATATCGATATTTTTCTTTTTTTAAACTGTATATTTTCATTTGCGGTTTATCTGCGAAAGGGCCTTGCGCATTCCTTGCTTATAAGAAGCAATGGAGAAACTCACAGAAATAAACACTTTTCGAGTATCTTCCATATTTCTTATCAGATTAAGATTTCAAGGGTACCGTTGCAAATCCTATTTGCATGGAGGGTCACTTTAAATTCCGCTTACAGTCACTTTAAGAATAAAAAAACATTTAAAAACCTTAAATCTTTTCGTTGTTGAACTCTACTTTCTGACTTATCCCCTGAAAATGCATTTTTAATATTATTTATTCAAAAAAACTATAATTTTATTTTAAACTTTTATACCCAAGTTATAGCATCAGGTCCTTGTCGTATATATCAATACAATTCGGAGCAGTGCCATCGAAAGCTTTCATCTAATTTAAAATCATAGCAAAAACAAAACTTATATCAATACAATAAAGACGACTTTCTATTTTGATTTTGATTTCTACCAAGCTTTTAAGCAGCATGGATACACAGAAGCGTCAATTAAAAGCTCCTCTTTGATTACTTGTAAACTTGTAATTTAAAAGCTTGTTATAAATCAAAACTTAAATCGAAGTCGTCTTTATTATTGATATAAACGCCGATCACTGTATCAATTACAAAGCTTATCATTATAAAAAGATAAAAACCAAGCTACTTAAAAAAACGTGTTTTTCCTTGACAACGACATTTCTTACAGTTTTGAGTGAAACTTATGCCTATTTTTACAACCCTTAGGGGCTGGGCCTGGGCCTTTTTAGGGTCAACGAAGTGTTAAGAAAAGTAAACTTACCATTTTTGTCGAATGAAACTAAGCCTCTTTTCAAGGTCCTAAAGGCAAAAAAATGTTGATTTAATTTCAAAATGATTTCATCAGGAATTTATAAAAGAAACGCTATGGTTTTAAATAATCTAATTTTTTAAAAAAGTTTTTTTTTGATACATTTCATCTTTGACACAATTTTATTATTTTTAGGAAAAGAAATAATATTTACCTTTTACTTATCTTACGTCGAGGTTTGCTTGGTTCTTTATTATTGCTAAAGTTTCTTTTTGATGGTTTAGTTTTCAGACGTTTTCTGTCATCTTCATCAACATCATTATATTCATCTTCATCATCATCATCATGCTCAACATCATTTTCGGAATAATCTTCATCATTATATTCATCATCAGAATGTTCATCAGTATTATATTCATCAGCAGAATATTCATCAGTATTATATTCATCAGCGTTATGTTCATCAGTATTATATTCATTTTCATGATGTTCATAATCTTTTACGTTAGAGTGCACTTTCAGTGAGCTTTCTGAATACCCATACGGGGAACTTTGTTGGCCATGACCTGTTTTTTGGCCACCGTAAATTGCAAACTTTTGGCCTTCTCGTTTACTTTGGTCAGGATGAATATTAGTGTTTGTTTGGAAACTGTTTTTAGTTTCATCGTTTTCTTTGATATCTTCTACATCTGGTTTAATTTTATCAAAAAAATGCATTATACACTTATTTTGTTGTGGGAAGGGGGGGGGGGTTGCTTTTTTATACATAGAGGTGGCTTAAACTTGTAACTAGGGTTGCTAATCGTTTTCTTCGTTTTGTTCGTTTGTAGAGTGTTGGTCTAAACATTATTTTGATAAAAATTCCTGAAAGAGTTGAGAAGATATCTTGTTCTAACTCTGGAAGCCTATCTTCAATGTACACAGGTTCAAATCTAGAAGAAAAAAATTTATGAAAATTTATTTTTGCTAGTTCTTAAATAAATACAATGGTCGACGTATATATCAATACAATAAAGACGAAAGACGAATAGATTTGAATGTCTAACAAGCTTTTTACAAAATACAAGTTTACAAGTAAATATAAATTATTCTGTTAATTGACAGCTTCTCATTGATTCCGTGTTTATGTGTATCCAAGCTGTTCAAAGCTTGGTAAAATATCGTCTTCATTGTACTGATATATACGACGACGTCTGTACAGAAAAAAATCTTTATTTTTTAGTACCCAAAGGATTGAGTCTATACCACAAACTCAAATTTTCTAATTCCTATATCTTAGCAACTTGATAGTGTAAACCTTTGATTTTTTAAACTTAGATTACTTAATATAACAGAATTCATATTTGAAATAGCTAAGGCCCACGACATTGGGTTGCAAATATATAGGGATTAGAAATCAGAGTTTGTGGCAAAAACTCCGTTCCTTTGAAGAAAACTTTGTTTTGACAAAATTTGTAAAATAGATAAAAGCGGTTTAATTGCACTGCTGTCAATTGTCAATTTCAATGACACTGAAAAAAAACATTTAGGTAATGTGTATTTAAAATACAGTAGAATCTTTGTGATTTTATGTTTATATTATTTTTTCGATCAAAATAGCAGAATTTAAAGACAAGTGGTTTTATTTTAAATCTAAATAAAAAAAATTTAGTTTATTTAGTTTTTTTACCTTGAAAGATTAGCCACTGGAAGAACTTCGTTCGAAATGTCTAAATATTTAGTTGAAAATTAAATTATCTCTTACATGGACTAATTGCTGAAGAAAGAAGACAAAATTTTTTTTTTCTAAACCTTTTATCTTTACAACCTGATGGTGTAAACTTTTGATATTTCACATAGCTTTAAATAACGAAGGTCTATGACATCTGGTTGCAAAGATATAAGGATTTGAAAATCAGAGTTTGTGGCAAAAACACAATTCCTTTGATCGTTAAGTTATCATAATACTAATAATACTATTTTTAGATTTGTGTGTTTAGGTTTGAAATTTCCCAAAAATAATGATGGGTGATTTCTCATCAATCATTCCCCTTAGCACTTTTCAGGCTTGCCAAATTATACTCTAAAGAAGGAGAAGAAGAAGAAGAAGAAGAAGAAGTAGCGTACTTTCAAGTGACTCTCCATGCAAAGATGGCAGTTTAAAACCTTTATCTGATCAATACTGTTGAAGATATGGTCGTTTTTCTCGGTTTAAATGTTTAATTCTCATGATTCCTATATATTTCCCTACAGTAGAAATGCGCCAGTCACTTACGTAGAGAAACCAAAATTGACAATAATCAGTTTTTTAAATTACAAACATAAGACGAAGCTTTTAAGGGTACCAATGTGAATCAGGCAATGGAGGATCCCTTGAGTCTACCCTTTCAGTCCCTACATATACTTGGGTGTTTCTTTTACCTTCTCCAGCTTCCTGCATTGGCTCCTTTGTTCTTTCCTGTTTTCTAAACAAAATAAGGTATTTGTCTTAATAAAAAGTTTAAAATGAAAAAGGCGGGGGGTTATTTTCGGGAAGGTGCAATCTATTGTGATAATTTACACTATAATTTCAAACATAATTTATTATTCAAAAATAAACTATTAAAAATTCAGGAAGCATTTGCATTTGCCCTTTTTGTCCGCCAGGTGGTGGGAAAGTGGCGGCTTGGTGGCGGGTACAAAATTCGGGCCCTTACATTCCTAATTTTTGTTAAATTTTTTACAAAAAAGTTGTTTAGATATCACTTGTAATGTAATGAAGATATACTATTCAAATACGTTGATTATAACCATTCAATATTTGGTATTAAGTATTCAAGTTCTAATTTAAAGTGTGTGATAAAACTATATAAAATTATATATACTTAATTTATAATTGAGAATGCAGGGGGGGGGGTGAACTGTGAGGGGGTGGAATCGAAAACTTATTTCAGTCTACAGAATAAGAAGAGGGGTTGCACTTAAACTTATGAATGACATAACCATGACAAACCTCTTGTTTTTTCGCTCTTCAGACCGTTCTTTCCAACCTTTTCCTCTTCTTATGTCTGCAAGTTCCTTTAAATTTCTTCCAAAAATACTTCGAATATTTCCTAAAACCTCCGCCAGGGGAGCTCTGATAGTTCCTAAACTCTCCGCTAGGGGATCTGGTGTGCTGTAGACTAGAGATGGGGAAAACTGTAAATCTTTACTCTGTCTGCTAAAAAAGCATTATTTTCTCTTGTTTTGAAATTACAAACTTTGCTTAAAATATGGGAATTTCATCGGTTTCCAGGGGAGTGCATTTCATGTTGTTTAAAAGCAAATATAGCTATAACTAGTATAGTTATTAAAACAATAATTAAGAGAAATGGTTCTGTTTACAATGTACAATTGCTCTTTAAAGTCATGACTTGAGTCTAAGGATCGACTTCCTATTCAGTGTATGATGAGAAAAAGAAATAAAAAAGTATTGAAAACCCATCCTGAGGCCGAATTTAAAGAATTTGAGCGGCGGCTTAAATTTAAGCCGCAGCTCAAATATGGTTGGTTTCACTTAAAATTGTATTTAATGTTTCAAGATTTAAGCCGGTGCTCAGTTGAAACCGATTTTTGGCATATTTAAGACACGGCTCAAATTCATTAAAGTCGGACAAAGATTCCTGTAGAAAATAAAAAAATGTAGGTTTTTATAAATTTTGGCAAGTTTTAATTAATAAAACATAATAAATATAATAAAATATAATAACTAGCTTGGGAACCCAGCGTTGCACAGGGTATTCACGCCGTTTACCCGCACTTGAACTATTTTACCGGGGAAAGCATGTTCGATCTATAAAAGTCGATCAACTCAGCTTAGAATCTCAATACCAAGCCGTGGTTCTCCCGAGGTCCCCAATCAAAATTTGAGACAAATCAGTCAGGGGTTCCTGAGTTATTGTCGGAAAAACAAACAAACACCCAAACAGAGATTACAACAGTATGTATATAGATATAGATATAATAAGTAATAATGCATTTCCTTGAAGATCTGATTGGAACAGAAGCCTATGATAATATTAATTTTATTTTAAGTGAATTTTTAAATTATGAGACAATGTCTCTTATAACAATGTTGAAGTGTATTTGAACTTCTTTTAAAATTTTTCCTAGACACTTATTAAATCCCCTATTAATTGAAATGGGCACACTGCACAATTGATGAGGCCCTTGCGCATTGGATTATAATTAATGGCTTAACTTGAGTCTAAAAGTCGTCTTTCCGGTTAGCACTAGGGCTGGGCACGTTTCAACTTTTTATAGCCGTTTCGTTAACTGTTAGTTACAACCATTAAAAAATACAAACTTCCGTTAGCCGTTAAATTTTTTATTTTAATTTTCCGTTTTATTTAAATTACCGTTAGCTTACGCTCTCAATTCTATTAACGGCGTTAGCAGAAAATTTTCAACAATTGATAACGGCTCTAGGCGTTAATGGTACCGTTATTGATAACGGCTCTAGGCGTTAATGGTACCGTTATTGATAACGGCTCTAGGCGTTAATGGTACCGTTATTACAATTTACAAAATTTCGTTGACAGTTTAAAAATCGTTAACAGTACAGCCGTTAACGGCATATTACAGTATTAACCGCGTTAAAGGCAAAAAAATCGTTAACGGTTTATAAACACAGATGACGACATTTAAAAACATCAAATGAGTAAGATTTTTAAATTAAAAAAAAAATAATATTTGCAATTTTAATCACAAAATGACAAAATTTACCGATTTTAGCTTTTTTAAAGTTAACGTTTTTAACCGTTGATTGTTTTACAAAAACAGCTAATATTTTATATAACGATTTCAAAATTAACGGTTTTTGTTGTTCGTTAACGGACTCTTCCGTAAATTTTCGAAAACCACCGTTTCGTTAACGGAACTTTGCTCAGCCCTAGTTATCACCCTATATCAATTGCTTAGGATAAGGTTTAATAAGTGGGTGAGGTGCCTAATTAAGCTTTAAACCCAATGGATGGAATAGTACATTTGAAATTTCCAAGCCGGGTCAACCTTTCCGGTCCCATTTTGTACTGTACCTAGCCCTATAGACAGGACAAGCCGGTGCAACAAGGTTGACGCGGTCAGACTTTATGCTTCATATAGGTTGAATTTACTTTTACTAAAGCGCAGAGGTGCGTGAAAATACAGTGAAAGTAATATGTCAAAGAAGAGAAGACATAAACGTTTAAAAAGAAAAAACAAAAGAAAGCAAAGAAAGAAGACAGCAGCAAAGAAAGAAAGAAAGAAATAATAAAATCAAAGAAAAAGGAAGAAAGTAAAAACCAAATGGAACAAATAACAAATAATGTAACAAACATGATTGACAAACTAGCAAACAAACAAAACATAAAAACCTTTGAAAGTAATTATAAAAAATGTTAACAAACCTGTGAACTTAAAGTGTTTACACACAACGAGAGTAATACACATATAATCATTGCTATTCCTTTCTATGGTAATGCAGAAACTGTACTAAGGATATCAAAGATTAAATTGCCGGGGTAAGATGAGGGATGGTAATTACATATAAAGAAATCTTCTATTTCTATTTCTATTCTATACAGGAGTAAGGCACGCCACTGCAAACTGTAGAAAGTGTTGAGCTAAGATTGCTCATTGTCAAGTACTCTTTGTTAAGGACTATGGAACAGCATTGAGAGGAAACCAAGCCACCACAGATGTTGTCCTGATGAATCCTGCTAGCTATTTATCGTGTTAATATTTTATGCCATTTCAGATAGTTTTATACAATGGGACTTAACTTCAATTTTTAAATTATTAATTAGCCAACAGAACCACCAGGAAAACATTCTTAAATACTTTGTATAAGATGATGTTAACAACTTTTATTTGAGATATATAAAATATTCAATTCAATCCCCTATGAGAAACTAATTAAGGATATTGAATAGATTTTTAACCCGTAAAAGATCTGCCTCAGTAGGAACGTGATCCGAAGTATTATCTCGTACTGAGTCCGAATTTGATGAATTTGAGCCGTGTCTCAAATCCCCCAAAGACCAGCTTCAACTGAGCGCCGGCTTTTAATCTTGAATCATTGAATACAATTTTAAGTGGTACCAACCATATTTGAGCCCTGGCTTAAATTTAAGCCGCGGCACAAATTCTTTAAATTCGGCCTCAGATTACTTAATTGGGATTCCGGGTTTCAAAGTTATAATGCAAGGAAAGTTATTTCGGTGTACTTAGGTGTAGTGTAGTTAGGTGTACGCATCATCTGTACTGCAGTGTACTGTCTCTGGGTGGTAATGTAAACACAGACGGATGTCACAGCCTGACATGGGATCCATCTTTCACATATAAACAATGAAATAGTATGATCATAGGAAACTATTAAGTGATATATCAAAATAATCAAAATTAAATGCTTTTGGCCTCCTCGGATACTAAACGAACACTGATGCGTCTATTCTTGTTTACAAATTTCGCCCTGAGAGATTTGGTTCAAATATGTACGCAGAGTATACGCAACTGCAATTAACACATATGCAATTAATCCTTCATTCAATTTACTTTAGTAAACGAAACACATATGCAATTAATCCTAAATACAATTTACTTTAGTTTGACGTAATGCATTTGCAATTAATCCTATATACAATTTACTTTAGTTTGACGTAACATATATGCAATTAAACCTTTATTCGATTTACTTCAGTTTAACGTAACACATATGCAATTAATCTTATATACAGTTTACTTTAATTTAACGTAACACATAAGCAATTAATCCTTTAATACAATTTACTTTAGTTTAACGTAACACATATGCAATATATACACTCTAGTCTACACTCTACTGACATAAAGAAGTTTTCTATTCCCTATATCTTTGCAACCTGATGGTCTAAACTTTTCAAATTTGGTCTAATATACTAATTACTGTAAGTGGAATAAGGAAAGAAACCCGTGAAAAAAAAGAATGTTAAAAATTAAGCAGCATATAAAAATCTTCAAAATTAAGCGGCATATAAAAATCTTCAAAATTAAGCAGCATATAAAAATCTTCAAAATTAAGCGGCATATAAAAATCTTCAAAATTAAGCGGCATATAAAAATCTTCAAAATTAAGCAGCATATAAAAATCTTCAAAATTAAGCAGCATATAAAAATCTTCAAAATTAAGTAGAACTTAAAATGTAATTAAGAAATACCAAATTTTTTAAAGCCTTTTTTTTGTTGCTCTCAATTTACCTGTTTAGAGCAAATACATATATGAGGGAATCTAAAAATTAAACGTGAACAGTGAACACATTATATTTAGTTTTTTTATTATAAAGGATCTGTTTACTCGCTTTAGGTCTACATTAATTATACTAATTTGCAACCTGGTGTCAAAGAGGTTTAATAAATAGCTATAAATTAAGCTATGCCTCAAATAGTCAAAGGTTTACACCACGAGGGAGGGAGTCCAGAGTTCCTCAAACAGTAATCACCGCCACCCAAATCTGTTTTGCGGCAAGCGCGCTCCTAAATTGGTAATCTCCACCACCTCAATTAGTAATCACCGTAAAATTTTGTTTTCTGTGATTTGAATATAATGCACTTTTAACACAATTTTCGACATCTATCGGAGTTTTATGGCATCTGTATTGACTTAAACTAAATTTTCAAATTATTTTCAGATTTGTTTGGTCAACAAAAGCTGAGAATTAAGGCACAGTTCATTTTAGCCGAATCTTAGATCCAATTCGCCACTTTAATGACTGCATTTCATGATTGGCGTCAAGATGCAAAAAAGGTCGGGCTGCCTGTTTACTAAAAATTATCTCATCCCACCCAAAGTAATATCCATCTTCATTTAAAAGATATTTTCATAAAACCTTTACAGTGTTTAGATTTTTGTATTCGCCTACTCGAGTTCAACATCTACAACAAAACTAATTATATGCATAGAAAGAACATAAAATTTTGAAAAATTAGTCTCATCACACCGACTACTGAAAATGAAGTATTTAGTCCACTAATAATGGGTTAAAGTTTCCTCTCCATATAAGGAGTTTAAAACAACATTCAGAGGAAAATGTCGCAAACATTCTTAAAGCGAAACTTGAAACTAAACAACGTAATATATTTCTAACACTTAGTGTGACATATTTATTGATTTATTTTCGAAACTAAGGAGCAATAAAGAAAGCTTTAACAATATTGTACACCATAGGGCCATTAAAAGAGGTCAATATGGTCTTATTTCTAAGAAATAAACGATCTAATTTTACGCTTTTTTGGGCTGATTACTATTTGAGGTGGTGGAGATTACCAATTGAGGAGCGCGCTTGCCGCAAAACAGATTTGGGTGGCGGTGATTACTATTTGAGGAACTCTGGACTCCCTCCCTCACACCACCAGGTGCAAAGATACAAAGATTAAAACATTCGAGCTTTGGCGAGTAATCAGTTTCTTACGCAAAGTCGGGTTTAGAAAGCGATGTCTTCTTTTGGGGCGTTGAGCTCACCATGGAACAGAAAGGAAACAGAAGGAAATGCAGGCCCTCACGTTGAATTCACCACGGAAAAGAAAGATATGCAGGCCCTCAAGCTGTGTGCGCCTTAGCTTTTAAAAGGATTGTAATGTTATATTTTAAAATCACCTCATGCAGTACCAGTCAAACCTTTATCTGATCAATAATGTGGAAGATATCGTCGTTTGTCTACATAGTTTGCACAGTGTGTATTTCAGGCAAACTCATCCATTATTTTTCATCTAATCTTCAGATGCAGATTAACTCGATTAACAACGGCCCCCTTAAACACGTTGTCTAATTAAGTATATATCGATTTTTGTAATATTAAAAAACAGATTGTTTCCAATTGGAATTGTTCAACACAAGTGACTTTCACCATTCTCCAACACAATAAAATATAGGAATCATGCTTATCAAAAACTTTATTAAAAAAAAACATTATCTTAGACATTACTGACTAGACAAAGGTTTCGGGGTTAACGTTGTGAACTAGGCATTGTTATCTTTTGCATGGAATTGAAATTACAACAACAGCCCATTTAATTGGAGGGTCAATTTGTTTAATTTATTTTTGTTAAGGAGAATTAAAACCTTTGTTAGCGGCAGCAGAACAAGACTCGTTTATTACCATAATATTATACTATCTCAATAAATTCATATTTAAAAACCTTTATTTTGTTTAGATGATAAATTTACTCCAGATTCTACAGTTTCAGACGAGAGTATCAGTGTATAGTGTATTTATTTATTTAAAACTACAAATCTACGAAAACCACTAATCACTCGAGTAAGAAAGACTTTGCTCAATTAAGTTTACACTTTTGTCGTCTTTCTTCTGCATTTATAACTGGTAAAATTTGGCAGACGCTGAACTCTTCGAGTGTGCGAGGTGGGGAAGACTTCACTGCAGATTTTACTTTTGTACACTTGACCACTTTTTCAACAATTTTCAATTAAATTAGTATTTATTTAGGGCTAGGTTAGGTTAAGACACTTTCTGGGCCGAGCACTGCGGCTAGGACAGGCTAGAGGGCTGAGCGCTGCGGCCACGGGTTATGACACTTTCTGGGCCGAGTGCTGCGGCTAGGATTCAATCTTGATCTACAAATGTCATCCCCCCTTAATCATGCTTTTAATTAAGCACGGCAGTGAGGTCTTCCCCACCTCGCACACTCGAAGGTTGGAGTTCAGCGTATGCCTAAAAATTTCAGCCATTTTCTTGCTCCTTTGTCATTAATATAACATCTGCCAAGTTTTAGCCCTAACAACTTTCTTACGTGAACTTTAATCCGAAAATTAAAAGTTTACAATTTTTCTAGTAATAACAAAATTTAATCAGATTTAATATATTTTATTACATGTTTTAAAAATACATTTTAGCATTTTAACATCTCTTAAAACTTTCCTATATGAAAGCATGAGGCCATTTGTTAAATAAAATTGCCCATTTATCCAGCAAAGGATTTGAGTCTTTGCAACAAACTCAAATTTTCCAATCCCAATATCTATCGAACCTGCATGGTGTACTTCTTAGATATTTCAAACTTAGGTTATAAGCTCTAGCAGAATTAATAGTTTGAAATATCAAAGGTCTACGACATTTGGTTGCAAAGATATAGAAGTCAGAAAATCAGAGTTTGTGTCGAAAGACTCAATTCCTTTGTCCTATCAGATAATTGATAACTCTCATGAAATATTACGTTACATACGATTACGGGGTAACAAGAGATCATGATGAGATTCAGAATAGATCAAGAGATCATGATGAGATTCAGAATAGATCAAGAGATCATGATGAGATTCAGAATAGATCAAGAGATCATGATGAGATTCAGAATAGATCAAGAGATCATGATGAGATTCAGAATAGATCAAGAGATCATGATGAGATTCAGAATCAATCAAGAGTCGGAACCTAACAAGGGGATGGAACTTACCAAAGGTATAAAACATGAACGTGGAACCACCGAAGGGGTGGAATTTACAAAGAAAAGGAACACATATCTATTGCCTAACGTAGCCATAC